AAAAAAAAAAAAAGAGTATCTTATCTTTTCTGAAAAGTCTTTTATTTTAGCCCCGACTGGTGGCAGCCTACCTTTTTTCTTAGAGTTTCTTTTTTACATGTTTAGATGTCTGACCACTCTCTCATTTCTATTTTCTACTATTACAGAAGAATGTAAGGTAGTTCCAAAAATACATGGAGCAAAATGAAAATGCAAGTGAAAAAAATAAGTGAATGTAAAACAGGATAGAAAAGTAGAGTAGAGCTGTGAGCAGGGGTTGTGGATTTAGTTCTGAGTTGGAGAACAGTCTTAGGGCTAAAACCAAACCGTCTAGTTCCCTGGGAAGAACCTAACGAGCCTCCTGCACCCAGAAATCCTTCTTTGTATAGGAGGTGCCGATGCTCATAGATGCATTCCTTGGAAAGCTGAAAAAAATGAGTAAAAAATACTCCATTGTCAAAATTTGTGCTTTGTCTTCAGATAGACTTATTTCTTTAGTTCTGTTTTTCCACATTATACTCCATATGAATATTAATCCTACAGGTACAGGCTAAAACTAGTTAATGGCTCTGACAATATTGTGCATGAGTGAGAGATGTATAAATATTTACAGCCTGGGAAGAAAAGGATGCTCCTGTAAAATGCCGTGAACAACAGAACAACTGCTTTTCAGGGGTCATAACCACGAGTTTGATAAGGACAGCCGATATGCCCATGCATGAGGAGTGGGGGATTCATGTTTGTAGTGGACCTTAAATGTGTGAGAATTGAGTGAGTTTCTAAGAATGTTCTTAGAGTGGGCACCGTGCACCCGATGGGCTGGAGCTCTGGCAGGTGGCAGGAAAGACAGCTCTTTCCCTACCTCCTGCTCAGACTGGCCGCGCTCGCCTGTTGCGGAGGCTTCCTGTGAGAGGGACCAGGACAGGAAGAGCCCAGCCTGGCTTTTGGGCCCCAGGGGACGCAGGTGTGAGAAACCATACTGTGCTATTCTTTGGTTGTTGTCTTTATAATCTGGTATATATCTCTAAGCGCAGAGTTTTCACCAATAAAACTTATTTTCTCCCTTTTGAAAAAAATTTACACAATATTATCAAATAGTACAATTTAGCAAATGCATATTAAAATTGGTGTGTGATAAAAGCAAAAAATCTGAACAACACACGAATTCAGGATGAGCCATGATGCAGAAATAATCCCCAAAGCCTCCCAGTATTGAGAGCGGGCGGGATCCCTCCCTCGTCATCCCGGGCCAGGCCACCTTGCTGACATCTTTGCTGACCTGTCAGCATCAGGCTGACCGTGTCACAAAAGAGAAAGGGGCACACAGTTATACCAGAACAGAAGCTGTAGCCTAGTTCTGTCCCAGCAGGCTCAGGGGCATTGGCCGCCTTGCATTTAGCTCTTTTTTTCCTCTCAGCTTTCTTTTGGATTTCTGGAAAAGCCATCTGATTGCCCTCCACGAACCTTCCTTCTGAAAAGGCAGTTCCTTTTTAAGATGTCTGACACCAGGGAGGATGCGAGTGTGGTCAGTGAGGTCCCAGTCCATTCTCGCACCAGTTTCCATCACGACCCTTGAGCAAAGAGGATGAGGATCTTATCTGAAACCCCGAACCGTGGCTGAACCATGTAACTGACATCAGACTAAGAAAGCACGAAGCAATTAAAAATAATTAATGATTTCTGAATATCAGCCTTCTCCATGCAGTTTTAATCTAGTCCTCATTTAAATTGGAAGATGGACATTTAATTATCAGTATTATGAAATTCATGATTTATACATTTAATCCAATTGGGTAAAAATTTCTGCCACCAGCTCTTCATTTTATGATGAAAAAAAAATGTGTATCTTACAATGCGATCATTTAAAAGCTCATCTGCAGCATACCAAACAATTCTAAACATATTTTCCTTTCATTTGTAGTGATTATGTTCTTTCTATCTCTCAATTAGGAAAAAGAAATATCTCACCTGGAAAATTGAAAATAAACTCAATACTTTAATGATCATGAAGCATTGCAGGGCTGGAAAATAAAGTCTAACAGACTGAAACAGTAGGGTGCTTGAGAAGTGCTGCTCTGTCCTGGGGAGGTATGCCAAGTGCAGTCGTTTGCGTGTCGTGTTTATGGTCTCACGCTGCAGAATTTGCATCCATATTCCGTGGGTGCGTGTGCCTGTGGCTCTCCCGTTCCCGTGTGTTTGGGTGAGTGTGCTGCTGATAACCACCAATGAGGGACCAAGGTGCCGTCTTCTGAGTAATGTTCACCAGCTGCTGCATTTGCAGGTGTCCCTGCAGCCTTTGTCTTCAGTGGACACTTTCTTGTGGCTTGAGGTGGCATCCAGTATCAGACCCCTGCTTCCCTTTAGCCTCCATTGGGATTTCTCAGGGTCACCTAGGACTGGTTCACAAGGTGGTGGGTAAGAGTATGGGAGGGCGGCCAGGATCTGACAGAGGAACATCAGCTTGGCACAGCCACAGATAATGGCATATGGGGAAAATTCCTGAATGAAGTGAAAAAGTATTTATAATAATGACATTCCAATCAAGGAAGAAAAGAAGTCATTTTAAAGGCATATACATTTTTATCATCACCTGTAACAGCCATTGCCTCCCTTGTCTGTCCATCTATTCTTGCCATGACTGACAATGAAAGCAAGTACAAAGAAAAATGTAAGAAAAAGAAGAAGTGAATGGGAGCGGGTGGGGAATTAGTCGTATGGCGTATTTGTATATCCTGATGTAAAAGGTGCGGCTGACAGGTGGCCAGGTTTGCTCTGTACACAACCATGTGTGTGCTGTCAGGCGCACGCACGCTGCCTTGTTTCGATTGATGAATTGCCTGCTTTCTTGATTAAACCTTCCGTCACTTAAGAAACAAAAAGCCTGTGTTTAGATGGCAGAGTGGGACATGTCAAAAAAATCTGTCTCCTTTACCTTTGTGCAGATGTTGGGCACAGACTGTAACATGTATTATTAAAATGAATGTGGCATTTACTGTGCATTATTCCTTTCCTGGGAGAAAGGACTGTAAATTATATGCTAATAATAAGCTTTAACCCTTTCGAAATGCAAAAGATTTAAGAGTGCAAATATTCATGTAGGCCTGGCTAATTGGATGTGCTTTTATACATCCACCGTGGTAGCTGTGTCACTGACGTTAATGAACAGTGTGTGCAGGCAGATACACGGGGCACCTGGGGGACTCGCCTCCTGGAGGTTTTCTGCTGTGTGTGTGCCTCCTCTAGGATTTCATGGGGAGAGAGGCCTCGAAAACCCTGCACTGGGCTCTGGGTCATCTCCCAGATTAAGATGGCTGTGTCCCCAGTGAGCACTCTGGAGCTGAGCGTGGAGGCTGGGCTTCGCTTTGCTCTCCTGTGTGGGCTGGGCCCACTAAGTTCTCCTCCTTGACTGGGCTTTTCCAGCCTCAGTCCAGTTGCCCAGGTAGCAGACTCATCTCTCCCAAGTGCCGCTTTGCTCCTTGGATCCCACCCTAGCCAGCTGTTGCCTACGTTCATTCAGACCTCACCTGCCCAGCGTTAAGGCTGTCGGCAGCCAGCCCTCACCTGCCCAGCTTTCCTCCCATTTCTCTTCCCACCAGCCTGGGTCGCTCCCTGCCTCCTCCTTGCCTTTGTTTCGTTCTGAGCACTTACCTTGCCATTTGAATGGCTCAGCTCATACTTCCTTGTCCTCTTTCTGGCTCTGCCCACCCATCTTTGAAGGCCTATTCCCCAAATGCCTTTTCCACCAAGCCTTTCTGATTTTTTCCACCTGGGGACACTCTCTCCCACACGCCCTTGTGTTGGATCGAGTTCACCTGTGAGCATCTTGAGAGGGCAGAGACTGTAGAGAGGATGGAGGCTCCTTTTTGAATCAAGGAAGATATATGTAAACAAAGGCAAAGAGTAAGGATTGTTTACTCCTTCATGTATCAGACACTGAGAGCTGGCAGACCCTGTGCTCCTGAGTGCAACAGGAGGCCTGTGGAAGAAGGCTCAGTGTGTGACCAGCCAGGCATTTGGGGTTGGAAGATGGGTTCAAACTCTTAGCTCTGACACATACTAACCATCACAGAGAGCTACTGTGAACAGCTGCTCAGGTTGTGCACTGCACAATGTATGTGAATGGCGCCCCCTAGAGGTTGCAAGTGCCTTTTACTCTGCTGCCTTGGGCAGTGCTAGTTATTCGCACCAGTAAAAGACGTAGTAATTGCCTGCCTCCTTTCCTGGATTATTGTCAAGATCCCGGGTATGTAAAATCACTCTGTAAACCAGGAAGCAGCACAGCAAAGGAACTTCTCTCCACGTTTGCCTCCCCTGCAGAGCTGGGACCTGAGTTGGATCCCAAAGATTTGTTGAGAATTATCACTCAGGACACACTGGCTTGTGCCAAGCGTGGTCTTCATCTTCTTAGCCTTGTGTGCTCCCTTATGTAATTTGCTATATAAGATTACTCTTCTGAGTGCTCAGAAAAAATTCTCAGTCCAGAGACACTAGCAACAAAAGGCTCTCTGGCGTGGCCCAGCTCGGCTCCCCCTGGAAGCTGAGACTTTCTGTCACGCATCATCACTTAGAAGTAGGCTATTTTCTATGGCAAGCAGCCCGTGAGCCCTTTCTCTGGAAGGTGACAGAATGATGGCTTGGGGGCAGGAAGGAGAAAAGTGCTGGCAGAGTGAGCAGAGACCTCTGTGAAGCTGTCCAGTCTGCCTTTGGTGTTTGGAGGAAAAGTGCCCATGGGGCTGATTTCTGCTCCAGCTTTCATTGCTGCTTTTCCGGTGCTCCATGGGTAGGAAAAAGTTAAGACTTTTTCCAGTTAAGTCATCATGAAAAATAAAAATATTATTAGGTGACAGATACTTCAGTGCTCTTAAAAAGGTGGCCACTTTCCCACTATGCTTTCATTCTCTCTTTAGTTTTTAAGCATGGCAGGGCTCAGGCAGCATTGGTTTAATGGGCCACATCCCCTTCCTAAATCCATGGGTAAGGCAGCCAAGGGGTAATGGATTGAACTAGGGCAGGAGCCAGAATTGCTGAGCAGGCCCTGGTTCTCCCACACACCAGCCCAGTAAGGTCAGACACAGCCTCCAGTCTTCCTGGACCTAAATTCCCACATCTCGGCTAGGCGCCTATAGTTCAGTGGTTAGGGCACAAGCCACGTGCACTGGGGCTGGTGGGTTTGAACCCGGCCCAGGCCTGCTAAACAAACAAACAAAAAATAGTCGAGTATTGTAGTGGACGCCTATAGTCCCAGCTACTAGGGAGGCTGAGGCAAGAGCATCAATTGAGCCCAAGCGTTTGAGGTTGCTGTGAGCTATTACACCACAGCACTCTACATTGGGTGACAAAGTGAGACTCTGTCTCATAAAAAAATAAAGTAAATTCCCACATCCCTCCATGTCAGCAATCTCAGATGCTTCGACATCATGGTAGTTCAGCTTCCTGTGCCTCAGACATGGCCTAGCATCTTAGGCAGAGGTGGCAACA